CCTATAAATCAGTTTGTTTCATACAGTTTATGAGTGAACTCCACACTTAGAGTGTCAAAGTGAATCATGGTTAAATAACTGCATTTCTTATGCCTCTAGATTTACAAAAATACAAACACAAAACCAGAAACAGACAAACACAACAAAATTAGCATACAATGAACTCAAGGTCATCATGGTCCCTGCCATTCAAGTTCTATTATTTCTGGTTTGTTCACTGTCAGCAATCATAGTTCTGGATTCCACATGCAGCCAGTTGAAAGGAGTTCAGAGTATTTGCCTCTGGAAGGAGAATATTGGAATTGTAGAAACTTCCTTGCAAAAAATTCCATCTTTATTTCCACTCTATGACTAATTAAAATATTTTACTTTCACAAAAGAAATTTTAAAATGCTTCATAAGTAAGTCATAATAAATTTAACAATTATAACTATTGATTACTGAAAGAATTAATATGACTTTTTATTTACACTCCATAAATGATCTCATTTTTCCTGGCGTTTCCTATTTCTAAGTAGGCTTTTGCATCTCATTCCAGATTTTCTGTGACCTAGATGAGGAACTAAAAAGCTCATGTTATTTATGCCTTTGCCAAGTCTGGTTTTATTTATTTTCTGTGATGAACAGGTCTGCAAGTACATTGGGCTTTTCCCAGAAACTCAGTAGCCCTTTCATAAAATAGTGATTTACTTTCTGAAATGGCTAATTGCCACATCTTCACTGATGTGTATGAATTGTTTTGAAGATAAATTTTCTTTTGGTGCCTCTAAATTCTTAACAACAGGCAGAAGTTCATTTCACACACCACTTAAGCCTTCCCTCAGAGCAATATCCCTTCTTGATACATGAGTGAGGTACAGTTTGAAATAGGAATAAATCCCAAACATGCCCCTTCTTCTCAAATTCCCTCTTTGACAATGGGACTATAACTCCCTTAGAATTAAAATTCAAGTGAGTCATTGGCTTGCTCCTGACCCAAAGCACCTACAAAACACTACATTTCTTTCTTTATCCCAAAGGCAAACTAAGATAAAGGATTCCAAATTATGTATATCATACACAGGACATCAGTCCAAGCTCAAGCAGAGATTCACCAGCTGTGCCCCTCAAACAGAATTAAAAAATTATATAGAAATTGTATGAGAAAATACTCCTGTACAAAATAAAGTAATCTGCTTGCTAGTTTGGGTACATTAACTAATTAGCACAGAATACAGGAAACAGTGAGAAAATTTAATTAGCTATAAGATGCATGAATGTTTTTGGAGAAATCTTACTACAAGTATTAGATCATATTGTCAGGTGTGTTCTACTGAAGGAAATTAAATATTCCCACAGTCCCACAATTTATTGTATCTTTACAAGTGAAAGTATGTATATTTTTAATGAGTTTTCCTCTTGCAAGCAGTAAAAATTGTTAACCATATCCATAGATATTTATTTTGTCAAATTGATCCAGAAAATTATTTGATCTGCCAATTTTATTAAGATACTGATCATTAAAAAATAAGAAAAAAATAAAATATTATTTTTATTATAAAATACTCTGTTCTTCCACTATAAAAATATTTTTGGAAATAGTATTTCTTTTTTTCTAAATTAAAGAGATAACTGTAACTAATCGGAAGGGCCAAGAGTGCTTGTATTTAATTGATGCATGTATGTGATTTTAAAAATATTTCTTTTTTGGGAACTGTGTATATTTAACCAAAAAAAAGTCATAAACAGCATGCTTCAAATTTATAAGTACATGGTTCACAAGAACTTTGCAGTACACTGTCTTGAAAATTAGGAGTTCTTGGCATCAAAACCGTTCCCAAATAGGTATTGTATACATTATATACATTATGCAGCTCCTAGCACAACAGATCCCTGATGCAGCCATTTGAGGTGTCTGGCAGTCCTAAGGCATGCACTTCAGTACAAACCACTAGAGAAAAGCCTGTCTTCCTTTCCTAGATGCAGTCAGATGCAATTTTACTACCTCTGCCACAGAAGGGAGTAGAAGGATCCACAAGATGCCAAGGCTGAGGTTCCTTGTCTTTTGTTGAAGAATAATTCTTCAGATCAGTTGTCTACGCTTCAGGCTGATTTTACTGTAAGCTTAGCAGATATTTTTTAATCCATTTTCTTCCACGATTCTCTAACACATAATTTTCAGAGTAGTTTATGATATTCTACTAGCATTGCAATTTAGAACACAGTGTTCAGAACTCATGAGGATGTCATGATTTAATCATGGTAAAACTGCCCTCTGGCCAAAATACTTGAATAGTATTATTTAAATTTCTGCTCTAACATGTATCAGAACACTACAAGACTTTCATTCTGCTCTCCTATAAATGCAGTTTGAATATTTCTAAGTTTACTGTATTTCTAATATTTCTAAGTTTACTGTAAATTACTACAGTAATTTTCAACTGTTTCTGTCATCATTACTTTTTAAGTAAGGGCAAACTTTGAAAAACAATGTCTTGTATGTGTATGTGTGAAGATGAATTTATTCGTTTTCTTACTATCAGTGTAAGAGGAAAAAGGGAGAAAGGGATAAAATTTCGCAAGTGATTTCATGAGGAGCAAAGATAGTATATTTTCTGCCCCATGCTGAAATATCTAAACAAAAATTAACAAGTGAAAGCCTTACAGGTTTCCACCACTGTTTCAAACTTTGATCGGTGATTTTTGCAGGTTTTTTTGCAAACCATCCATTTCCTATATCGTGGATTCCTTTTTTCAAAAGCACAGGAACTGGCACGTAAATAATATCACTGATCTATGCCAGGCAATTTTAATATACTGATACTTGCTCAAGTGCATGATCCATATATCTTTTCACCAGAAATAATTGGTTCCATTAAAATATCTCTATCTGTGATTTTTCTGTGAAGTGAAAGTAAGAGTCAAAGCATGATTTAAAAGTTAAAAAAAAAGGTGAACAGAAACAGTCTCTTGACTTCTTAAAAATAAGTAACTTAATCTTCTTTAATCCTAAAAATATACCTTTAGAGATATACATCTTTATTACTTCTAGAATTAGTGAGTTATAGTGTGGCAACATTTGCCTGGCCTAGCACTCAATTAAGGCATAGTTCATGTGCAAGACCCAGACACTCATACATACATTGTTTAACTGACTTCACACATTCATGTTCATTAAAATCTTTTTTCAAATGACAAAACAAAAAACATTCTTAAACAAAGTTAGTAAACACAAAATATTTCCAAAATAGACTGAATGAAATTCAATGAACTAGCACCTAAGTAATACATTATCTATTCTGATATTAGATCACTGTTTCACAACTGAATCACGAAAAGAACTCTTTCAAGTTCAAACTCAACAATGCTTATGAAGAATAGCAAATTCTTCAAAGGCTTAAGACTAATTAATAGTATGAATGACTGTGAAAGAGGCAGATAAAATACCAACAACCACAATTAATAGGATCAAAACCATTGGGTGATTAATAGTTCCTTTTTGTATGAATGTTACCTGAAAAGTGGACAAACATTTATATATGAACAGAATGTATATATTTAATATATTTATGGGAAGTTTTAAAAAATATAGAAAATAATGAAACTGTATCAGCAATAGTATTTCACATCCATTTTCCAGGAATATAAACGAACCATATAATGCTCAATTGTAATACAGATTGCTAAGATTGTTAATGATATTTAACACTCAAGTTCTACACACTATTAAATGGAAATTTATATTGAAATCAATATCAAAATTCCCACTGATTTAATAGACCCAAGACCTAACTATTGGCAGCAACACAAATTACTTTATGGTTTATATTCATAACAATTACTTTTCATAGAGCATAAGGGATAAACACTACCAGTTTAATCATAATCCCTATCAAAGAAAAAAAAAGTGTGTATGTCAGCATATTCCTGAATCAAATATGAACTACATGGCTTGGAAAATTTCTTTCTCCAAATTTACACATGGTCTGGGGTCACAATTTTGTCCTGGGAAATGTCATACATAATGAAGAAATTCCCACAAGCATATCTATTCAAAGAAGCCAAAGCAATAATAGTATGAAAGTCTCCTCTCCTACTGGTACATCAGTGGGAAAACATTTACTTTCAATAATGTTATCCATTTGCTTTGTTCCATTCTCATTTAGGTTCTGCACATTTCAGCAAGAGAGGTCATCAACTGGTAGTTTTTTTAACTTTTCAGTTCTGGAAGCACTAGTGGAGTGTTTGTTGGAATTTTGAAGGAGCTGTTCATAATGCTGCACATAGTTGGAAGCTGACCCATATTTGCATTTGCAGCTGTAACCCAAGAACACTGAACATGGGGGAGAGGGTGGAAGGGGAAAGAAAACATTTCCAGGAATGATAATTCTGAAACACATGATATGAAATACTGAGTTCTTCTTTGGGCATCCTTCTTTTAGGCATGGACTTCTTACAGTTGCTGTTTTTCTGGATGTTGGGGGTAAAGTATGCCACTAGCAACAACAACAACAACAAAAAAATTATATATAAAAGCTATGAGCTTTTTCTTACTGGAAGAAAATTCCCTAGTCCCATAAAAAGGGATCTCTTCATTCCACAGAGATCAGTACCTCACAGGAGGCTAGAATTAAGGCAAGACAGGCCTTTGTACACAGAGAGTGGCTCTATGTTTTCCCACTTCTAAATTATAATGACTCATTTTAAACAAAGCCCTGCACCTGTAATTTCTTATTGGAGTGGAGGCTTCTGCTTGAACTAGCAAGACCTTCAGTAATAAGATCTGCTTGCTAGGAAAAGGCTCAAGAAAGTTTTATGTATTCAATGTATATATGTATTTGCACACACTCACACACACATGTACTTATACATGCACAAATATGCACCCACACAAATTCATAAATAGATGTCTATATATGTGCATATGCAAAGAGACGATATTGAAAATCATATTGGACTTGGAGTATTACCCGCTTGTCAGAACTATTTAAACTACTATCTACACAGTACATATTGAAACTCAACTTTAAGATGTTTTATTTTTATGTACAGTTCATTTTTTCCTCTGGAAATAAAATATCTAAATACAGACAGACTGTAATGTTGTATATGTATAGCTTTCAACAATACTTTAGCTGAATAAATGCTTTGTACATAGTTCTGTCTTTTAATGGAGTTTACAGCTACATTGATAAAATGGATTCCTCATTTCCTTGATTGTTTTAACCAATAACAAGCAGAGAGACAATTACAAGTTAATATTAATAAGCAGCTCAAATAACACGGGTTAAATTATGTACAATACAAACCATTCATACAAATGAAGACTAGGATATTGAATTTGTTACAATATTTTGTAATAAAGATAAGACAGCCACTTATAACTTACATGTTCTCCGCCAGGCATTTTCCTTCTTAGAGATCAATTCCAGTTTATAAGTACTTTAGCTGGCCTAAACTCAAACAAGTTTAAAGAATCAGAGCTTAAAGAGTCAGAGAAACATTAAACCAGAATGTCTGCTCACATGTAAATTCCAAATGTTTGCCCATCTTTACTAGAAACAGGCTTGCTCCTTGGAAAAAGAGCCACCAACACTACCTTGAATGTGCCTACTGTGTGCTGGGAAAAGTCATGACACTTTGCTGGGTTCATATAATACGGAATACTGAACTCTAAACACACTTTTTTCCCATTTTAACAAGTATATATTCCTACAGTATTATTTACCAGTACAGCTACTCCAAGCAGTAGAATGCATGAGTGGGGATTATTGATTGGCATGTACTCAAAGGACATTCAAGGAGATTTCCATAACAGTCTGTGTTAGAAACCTTGTACTGTCTAGTTAATCCATTTTGCTTGACGATAGGTTATGCTGAATCCTTAGATATCAGACAATGAAAGATTTCTTAACAGGAATCTCAATAATGTGCACTGAAAAGTGTGTGTGTGTTTCTATGTATGTGTATGGTTTTATTTCAAATCCATAGTGATTTACACCTAGATTGATACAAGGAGCTGACTGGGCAAAAATTACATTAGGTTGTTTTCCACTAACATATTTGCAGCCATTTGACATCAGCAGCAGCAGGTAGACACATTCCAGGCAATAGATGTGGCCTTCCTCCTTGAGGTTACAGCCCTGTCATTCGACCTCTTTTATTCCCCAGGCTTCAGTCTCAGACACAAGTTGGTCCTCACCCTGAAGGGAAGTAGGGTGTGTCACTGTGGTAGTTGTAATCAGGACACACCTTCTGTACTAGTTTATAATCTGTACTATAAAAGGAAATGTAAATACAGATTACTTTAAAGGGCTTGGAGCAGAGCCATGACACGTGGCTCTGGGTCTGCTCCTGATAACAGGTTTTTGAAGGGTCATAGTTGCAGAGTGTATTCTTGGTAGCCTTGTCAACTTTTTCATACTCGATTCGACAGTTAAAGGACTTGGAATCTTTGGCATCAATCACTGTCTGTTGTGCCAAGTCAAATTCCACTATTTTTGTAGGGGGCACTAGGCTCACAGATACATTCCCTTGACCAGTGGAGTTATGCCTGAAGTAAACACTAAACGTCCCATTGCCATGGTCAACGATTTTCCCTGTTATTAACAGATTTAGCTTCACAGTCTTGATGTTGGAATGAAAATCTCCCCAGCCAAACATTTTCTTAAATTTCCCAGTCTTGACGATGGGCCGTCTCTTTGCTCTGGGCCGAGGCTCTTGCAGATCTGTGGAGTTCCTCAGCCAGTCCCAGAGATCTTGCTCAGAATAAGTTTCTGGGGCATCATATCGCAGGTCCAAATCTGTATCATTTTCCTTTCCACGAAAAGTCTGTGACAGCAGTCGGCTGATGGACAAGTCTTTGCTACTTTCTGTCCATATGTGCTTTAGTGTGGATTTGGAGCTTCCTGATTTTAGAAGTTCTGTTTTTCCTCCATTTGTTAAATTTGCACAGGTAACCTGAAAAAGAAAGGAAGAAGAAAGAAACAATATATTGAGACATGTGATACAAGCCCCATTATTTCCACCAGAGACCAAAATGACCAGATTTCCTAATCATAAAGAAACATTTTTTGAGAAATTAAATTGTACCTCTCTACTCAGTAAACCAAAAGAGAAATGTCTGTTCTCCTCCACTTTCCGAGTAGTAATTGCTCAATTCTCCTTTGCCAGTTTTTTTTTAATTGACCTTCAGGTTTAATCACAGAAATTCACGTTATTCATCTGTTATGATGTCTGTAAGTGATGAGTGTGTAATGAATTACTACAAAAACTGAGATACACAGTCCTGTCGTCCTTCAGTTTGTATATGGCATCTCAGAGTGAAATGTTCTTGCTCAAATGCAACTTGCAATGTTGCTGCATCTTCCACCATCAGAGACACATTCATTTATTTTTGCTGCCCCTGGAGTCTGCTGTCAGGGTGCTGTCTTGGTGGTGCCAGCCTGACCATGCTTGGAGTCCATGTCATTATGAATCTAATAATAATAATACAATTTCCCTACTCCTTTTATGAATACTCATTGGTATATGTTCTCGACTGGGATCTTCAGTCACAACTACAGTATAAATAACAGAATAATGAAAATTTTAATGAGTTTTGAGTCTACAGCTGTACATACATTGCACTCCACATCAGTTAATGCAGGAGGAGTCACAGTCTTTCCTAATAATCCCTTACAGACCAACTACTGATTTGCCTTGTCGTTATCTATGACAAGCATTTATCCTTCCTTGCTTCACTTCTTTTTTCACCATTTCTTCCCCAAATTAAATAGTGATCTTGTGTAAGACAGAAAGCCTTTTGTATATTTATAAAAAGAAAAATAGAGGCACCAACTTAAAAGTAGCAATAAAAAATCCTGCAAAATCATATTTTAAAAGAACAGAAAATCTTGCATCAAGTTCCTACAAAATCATATATTTATGACATAGTTTTCACAAAATTTATTGTCAGAGTAATTTGTCTTATTTATAGTTTTTCTCTTTGCTTTAATTGAGTGGGAAACAGAGAACAGATGCAGGCTCACAGCTGTCTAACATGCAGCACTGGCAGAGAGCTCTGACAGAGCATACCTGGGAGGGTAGGAATTCGTGCAGGGTGGATGGAAAGGGACTGACAAACATGTAGTCCCATTCCCCCTAAAATTCACACCACACACACTGCCCAATTTTTTAACATTTGCACTGCTCTAAAGAGGCCATCAAGTTTCTTATTTCCCTTTTCATATGAGATACCAAAAATGCCTGTTTTATTCCTCTGTGTTCTGGCACTGATTTATGTGCTTCTATCATACTTGCAGTTATATCTTTCTCTTCACTTAAAAATGAATTAAGTGCATTCCATACCCAGAAAACCCATTGGAAACCAGATAGTATTTAAATCATGTCCCCTCCCTACTGGTACAACTGGACGTATATGTCACAGAGGATATCTATCACAGTATGGCCTTTTCATTTCTTAACAATCATGAAATTGAAACACACTTTCATTAACTTCAGTAGTTTTTCAAGGTCATTTGAAGGCACATACATAAAACCAGTCTAAATTGTCTTAATACACTGATCAGACAGGAGATATGCCCCCAGCCTTTAACAGCAAATAAATAGGTAAATAAATCTGTCACATCCTACATATACTTCCCCAATCCATTTCATGTAGGGCAAGTCGGGAGAGTAGATAAAATATGGATTTAATTCAAGATTTTGCCAAAGAGACAACTTCCCCCTCTTTTGAATGGACAGAAGGATTAAAACACAGACTAGCATTTTGATAACCAGTTCATAGCTGCATCTTAGCAATAACACAGTAGGCCAGGAGAGAAGCTGTAATAAAATGCACTGATGGTGCACTGGTTAATGAAGCAGCAATGAAGATTTCACAGGGAGAGAGAAAGAGACTCAGAATATATTTTTTCTATGGCATATGGGGAAGGAGGGCAAAATAAGAAATGTGGCTAAAAGGAAAAATGTGCCTGTCTAGAACAAATCTGTCAACCTACAACGAATCTAAGCAGTTTAATAGCAGAGCTAGTAAACCAGCAATCTGTAGGTAGGATGCAGATTGCTTACCACTCTCGTTTTCTTTGCTAACAGTTTGTTTTTCCTTTGTTTTCCTTTCTTCATCAAATGATTTGCATTTCATAGGATTAGACTACCTGTTCCATGTTATATTAGATAAGACTATAAAAACCTTTAAAATAGGTCTCTCTTTTTTTTCAGATATGTGAAACTGAAGACTCAGGAATGGGAGGAGTTTTTTTCTGAAATGATTGATGACTGATCCAATACATGGTTATTTGAAAGCCAGCATATTTCATAGAAATGGATGATTTAGTCTACATGCATTCTATACCGCTTCATACCCAATCTAACAGATACAACTGATTGTTACTGTCATTTATTTTGTAATACCTGAAAGATTTCCGGCTGTGCAGTTATCCCTGAGACCTGTGTTTGTGATTTTCATTGTGGGTAACTGGTTGAATAAAGGCCTGAACCTGCCTTTCCTAGTCAAGAGTCTGTGTGAGCACTTAAAAAACAGCCCACAAAGCATTAATAAAAAAGCACTAGAATTCATTGTGCTTCACTAACGTTTTCCATCCAACTGCTTTTTCATATACTGCTAGTATACTATATGCTACAGAACGTATTCTCCTCAGAGATTCACACACCCAATAACAGAGCATTGCTGTGTAGTAGAATTTCTGCAAATGCAGCAGTTCTTTCATGTGAACTGATTCAGTTTTCTTCAATCTCTCTTCTTCCTAAACACAAGGTTGCAATAATACAAGAAAGGGCACACAAAAGCATGAGGTTTTGCACTTAGTATTGCGAAACTGAAGCACAGACCTATTTTAGGGGTGCATGGAACAAGAGCCAATTCAAAGTGGATGACAAAACATGGAGCAGCCTAAATTCTATGGTGGTTTTTTTGCCATCTTCCTTGAGGATATCTACATATAATTCAGAAACTTGCATATTCTATTTAATCAATTAGTTCACTTTAACCAGTATTGCCTTCTTTTCCATAGCCAAGTGTCACTCCTAGATGAAACATTAAAACATTTGGCTCAATTTCAATGTCTCTCTCTAAGATGGAGTCAATTTTCTTCACATCAGCTTATCTGGTGCTGTCGTTTAGACTTTTAACCCAAATGCTGGTAACACACTGATGCTCTAGCTCTGGCTGAACGGTGTAAAGCACCAATGCCTATTCTGTTTCTCTCTCAGTCCCTCAAGTAAATAGACTGGGGAAGTGCACAGTGGATTGGGAATGGACACAACTGAGCAGAGAATCTGAATTCACCAGAGATATTCTACAATATGTAACATCATGCTTAGCAATTAAAAGAGGGGGGTTTTAGAGGAGGTAGTCATCTTTTGTTTAGGAGCAGGCTGGTCATCATTCTACCCACTGGAGTTGGTTGTGAGTTGAGTGTTGCCTTTGCATCACTTGTTCTGGTTTGTTTTCTTTCTGCTTCTTCCATTTATCCTTCAGTTATTAAATTTTCTTTATCTTGACTCCCAAGTTTTCTTGGTTTTATTTTTCTGTTCCTCTTCCCCAATCCACTGGGGAAAGGGGGAAGTAAACAAAAAACTGTGAGGTGCTTAGCTGCTCACCAGTGTTAACCCAAAACACCACTGCAGTGCAATAAATCAGTGCTGCAAAAGGGCTGAGTAGGGGGATTTCCTCCATGACTGCATAGCCAGAAGTGGCTCTAAATGATGATGATGGCAGAAATGTTTGTATAGAAAAATAGCAAGGAACAAAAAAAATTTAGAAACGCATATCTAGTGCTACAAGTGGCATTGGAAAAGCACTTACTAAGCATGGCAGACTGACATTTGGGTTTGGTCTTGAACTTTTACTGGAAAGTATTAATTTCCACTATCTAGTAAAGGCTACTGATATTGAAAAGGTACCAGGAATTTTTACTACTGCCTGGCAACTCTTTTCCAACAAATACTGAAAAAATTTTATTCCATTTCTTCTACTTCTTCTTTGAAGAAGGAAAGACAGTGGTTTCATTGGGCACAATATCCTAAAGAATCATTAAAAAGACACAGGAATTGATCTGTAATTAATTTTTAAATTCTATTAAAATAAAATACTCCATTCATTTTGTATCCTATGTTTTGAGGATGATGATTTTTTTTTAAATTTTAGCTTCATTAAGCATATTTTAATTAATATATGTCATTCTTTTAGGACTTCCTAAAGGATAGGCAGTTTATTTATCTCAGAAATTTGGGAGTTCTCTTTCGAGACACTGAGCCCTGAATGCTTTGTCAAGTCAAACCTTAACATTTGGAGCAGAGAAAATTAAGTTTAAAAGGACTTTCATGAAACCATGAAGTCCTCAGTGGTGATTTAGGTCCTCTTCTCAATGTAAAATCAACCATAGGTATATTAACATTAATTTAAGACTTATTGATTTGAGATTTTAAAAAATAGTAATTCAAAAAGGCAAAGAATGCATCTTGATTTCTCACTCTTTTCCTTTTATTCTAGCTCTACTACAGTTCATTACCTATAATTACAGTATTGGCTTAGAAATTATGTATTTATTCCTCTGAATATATGACTACTTGAGAGCAAATGAAAATGCAAACAAACAATCTAACACTCAAGGTGGAAAATCTCTCTCTTCAGGTAAATAACTAATCAAAAGCCAAGACTGTTTCTATTGGCATAGCACTATAAGAATTTGGCAGCACTGTATTTGCAAATGCTCTGAATAAAAGAATTCAGAATTTTCTTTCCTCAGTAAGATATCTCAGGTACAACAGAGGTAGGAGAGTATTGATGGACATTACAATAAGCTGGACCGTTGTCAAGGCAGGGCAGCAAACAGAAAGTTGGCAATGAATCCAGAGTCCTTATATTTGTCATGCAATGGGTGGAGGGAAAACAAGACCAAGTTTACTCTTCCATCTAGATCCATTTTTTCTTCCTG